CTCTATGGGTGCCACGTGTCGAGAAATCACTAAAGTGACTTCTCTTTTAATGTATAGGGGGATTGACATCCCTTAGGTGTCTCCTTTATATATACTCCACTTTCCTTTTTTCTTATGTTATTAGGGAGATATTTTCATAACACATGATGTTTAGGAATATAATTTCATAAGAAATAATGAAACAGTCCAAAGAAAAATATTAAAGTTATATTTTCATTAAATTATTTACAATTAATATGTTATAAACTTGTGCAATTAAATCATATTCAAAATAAGGTAATTTTTTAAAAACGAATTAACAAATTAGAAACATTAAGGTAAATTGCATTAAAACAATGTAATAAATATGATTTGAAGTTGCACAAGTCATATGTGTTCAAAATAAGTTTATAAAGACGAATTAACAAATTAGAAACATTAAGGTAAATTGCATTAAAACAATGCAATAAATATAATTTGAAGTTGCACAAGTAATATGTGTTCAAAATAAGGTAAGTTATTAATAAACTAAAAACATTAAGGTAAATTACATTTAAACTATAGATATTTAAATATTAAATGATATATAATAAGGAAAGAATAAATATAAAAAGTAGTTGATATAACTTTTTCATTAATAAATATTACTATATATATTTAATTTTAATTAAAAAGATCATATAATTGCAAACCATACAAAATATATCAATTTTAATTAAAAATATCATAAAACAAAATCACAATCAGCAAACCAAAGAAATATATATGTATATATAAGCTTATAATTCTAATTGATAATATAAATCTACTAATAAAAAAAAAGTATTGGCAGCACAAAAAGATGCTATTGAAATGATATAGCTGAGAGATGTTATCAAATAGAGAATTTTTTTTACCAGATTGAGGAACAAAGATGTTATCGAAATGATATATCAAAGAGGTGTATAATCAAATCATATATAGCTTCAGTGGAGAAATCATCATAATAGGATATCTGCATATAAACCAAAAGAAAAATCAGCTCTCAATCTATTCACGAGATGATATAGCTGAGAGATGTTATCAAATAGAGAATTTTTTTTACCAGATTGAGGAACAAAGATGTTATCGAAATGATATATCAAAGAGGTGTACAATCAAATCAT